CAACCTGCGAAAGACCTGGTCAAGAACAAACCTCTTGAGCATCAACTTGATAACCAACATAAGCGCAAAAGTAGTAGTAGTAGTAGTAGTAGCAGCAGCAGTAGCAGTAGCAGCAGTCGTCGTCGTAGTAGTAGCCGTAGCAGTAGCCGTCGCCTCGGTAGCAATAGTAGTAGCAATAGCAGTAGCAGGAGCAGGAGTAAGAGCAGTAGCGGCAGTAGTCAGCAGCAGTAGCAGTAGCAATCGCAGTAGCAGTAAAGTGGATGTCGTCGTGGTGGCAGTACAAATTAGGAGGCGACTGACAGCAGTACTAATTAAGCACGACTGCAGCAGCAGGAATCGTCGGCAACGGTTTTCCCAATCTTCTCAGGAGCCTGGGACGCAACATGTCGGCCCAGGCAGGGCAGTCGCCCTAATACAAGGAGTAAAGGATGAGCGCCACCATGGCTCGCGGTGGACTCTGTCTCTGTACAGAGCTCTCACGGATTGCCCGGAAGCTGGAAAACATGTTGGAATCAGAAAGAGGGACTCACTTGCCCTGCTTCATCATCAAGGAGCGCTTCTTCCTTAACTGCTCAACCCTCAAACCAGACCTAAACCGACCCTCTGCACGAGGCTCAACATCCCAACCCAAAGCTGCAAACTCCACGACCACCTGCAAGAATCCCATAAAGTCCCGTCGTGCTTTTGGGACCTTCTAGCTTTCATATTTAGCTAGGGTTCACGGACCGTGGTTCTTAGGGTTTCCCGCAGTAGTATAGGGGCTGTCATCATTAGAACAGCGTTTTGGTGCATTTCTTCATATGGATGACCAAACATTCAGGCCCCCTGCAATGGAGTTTTGGTGTTCAGGTTTGGATGGCAGGAATGGAGGCCGGGTAGGGGTTTGAGGATTAGGGGTTTCGGATTTCTGCGGAATCATTTCGAGCATGCACTTTTTTGGCTCCACGGCTGTAAAAAAAGAAACATACTGCTCCTCCTCCTCCTCCTAGGTGCTGTGTCTTCTGCATTTGAGTCTCCTCGTCGCCATTGGGCTTCCAAAGACCTCGAAAACGTGACGCGCAAGACAAACGCTGCTGAGGCAAAGGGGACGTGTGCTTTGGGCTGTCCCCAGATCGACCAAAACATCCCAACCCTAAAACCCTAAAGACCTAAGTAAAGCCTAAAATCCCAGACACTATACCTGAATTCTATGATCATCCCCGCGCCCTCTACCCTCAGCAGAGCGCTGAATACAATATACTCCAAAGGGCTTTTACACTATGTGATAGTTCATCCCTTGACTTCGTGGCTTTTGGGGCTCTGTGGGACCTGGGAGGCCCTGGCAGGCCTCGGTGGAGGACTTCGGCGGCATCGTGCACCTGTCTCAGGGCTCGCTATCTCGAATTTTGGGGTTTAAGGAGCTGAAGGTGTACCCTCAAGCCTCTTGCTGGGCTTTTTTCCAGTGTTGAAGGTTTAGGTTTCCGAAAGCCATGTACAGCCTGAAAAACCTTAAACCGAATCTTGCGCCTTCTCCCAGCCGTGCAAGCGGCCTCGTTGGCTCAGCGTACCTTCCACCCGAACTTCTGAACCAAATTGCTCTTGCTGAAACCCTATAGGCCACAGAAGCCGGGCAGCTCTTTATCCAACAATCAGCCCCGAAATCCTGTATTCTCTCGCCCTTCTCTTGAAGGGGTATCTGAGAAGTAATATAGGGGCCTAAATTATTGTCCATACTATTGTGGGGGTTCCTGATTATAAACTTAGTCTAAGGGGCCCCAAAACCCTATTGTAATTCTTAAGGCCCCTATACCAGGCCTAGATGCTTCCAGTCTTGGCCATCCCCCTGGCATCCGGATTAAACCTGACAGCTTGGATGGTCATGTAGGACCGTGGTGACGGTTTAGGGCTTACGGTCTTATGTTCGTGGTTTAGGGCTTGGGATCCAGGGTTGTGTAGGAACCTGACGAAGACACTCCTGGTTCTCATCAGAGTTTAGAACCAAGACACTCCTGGTTCTCATTTTATCAGGGTTTCTTAATCAAGTTCCGAGAATACCTGAGCAGAATTGCGATATCCAATTCCCAGAAAGCATTCAAGGGGCCCCACGTCCACCCCCGGGCCCGGGCAGCCGCACAATCCAAGCAGCCAAAGCGAAAGAACTCCCATGCCGAATCTAACTTACATGGGTGAACAGAATCGCCTTCGGGTGCTGCTGGGTATGACTGGCAAATGACGCGTCTTACTTCGGAGGAGAGGACCCTCGTCCTCGTGGCAGTGAAGAGGGTGCCGGGCTCTTAGCTTGAAGCTCAAGCCCAAGGTGCGGATTTTACTTGAAGATCTTTGAAAAACAGAGAACCCCCAGCTTCCTCGAACAAAACCATCGCGGCATAGAGCACTTGAGAGTCAGCAATTTAGGTGTCACTTAGGCAACTGACATGGGCACTGTCAGTGTTATAAACCTGCTCTTAGTCGTGCCTCAAGACAGCTTGAGGCCCCGACTGATGCCATGCCAACCTCAAAGCCTGGAATCTTCAGTTTAGGGGTTTATAGGGTTTAGGGGTTTAGGGCTTTAGGGTTTTAGGGGTTTAGGGGTTTAGGGGTTTAGGGTTTAGGGTTTTAGGGTTTTAGGATTTTAGGGGTTTAGGGTTTTTCTTTGTTGGGTCCTGGGTTGCAACTCACAGGCCCCCCCCCCCGAAGGGTATTTACGAAAGATATCGCTATGGGTCCATAATGAAGAGACATGAAACAGCTTCTTAAAGTGCTGAAAAGGGGCACCCTGACTCTCTTAGGGTCAGGAGTTCCAGGGTTGTTTTTTCAGGTTAGGGCCCGTTCTGTCGTGACCAGGCGGTACGCCATGCAAGACGAAATCCTGAAGCGGAAACCGTTGAGAGATTGGGATAAAGGCCTCCACCCTGCGCAACAAAAAGCACACTCGGAGTGCTAGCCCTCCTGCTCATGTCGACCACGAAGCTTGTACTGAAAGCCATGAACACAAAGTTTCACCAACCCTACACCCATAAACCCTAAACCCTAAAAAACTCCTAAGCCCTAAACCCTAAACCCAACATCTTGGGTTAATTCAAGCCCAAGCAGCTCTCCCCCTCCAGAGCCCTTGAAGTGAAACCCCTATCCTCCCTGAAACTAACATGGAACCCAACGGAGTTAAGGTCTTGAGCTTGGGAATTGGGGCGTCCGGAAGGGCCTAGAGGACTGTCCGTTCTGAAAGCGCGAGGGCACGGCAACAAACAAGAAAGTGCTTGAAGGAGTCCCGAAAGAAGGCCTAGAAATCCCATGGAAGACTCTAAAGCGATTCTCACTGCCGCAAGTGCGGGCCGCACCATGTCCTGGAAGCGCTGTTTCCAGCTGACTGGTGCAGCACAGCTCATTTCCTATAACTCGAGCCTTTGGCCATTATGTCAGCATATGTATATGCATGTACAGTTGTGCTTATGTTTATGACGCCATTATGCATGTAAATATATATATATATACATATGTACATATTTGTATATACACAAACATAAATGACATTACAATTACATTACAGTACATTACATTACATAACTTTGCATTGCATTACATTACAATACGTTACAGTACAGTACACACATACATACATACATACATACATACATACATAAATACATACTTACTTACTTACTTACTTATATGCAATTGTTTAGACTGGCTTGCATCGCCGACCAACGCGATGCAAATTCCTGACAGAAAGCTTGTAGTCCTTGAATTCAACGGCGTGGCCAGTGTCTCAGCCATTCTTGATGAAGGCCCTCGTCCCAGTGACAGCCATGGCGGTAACATGGGTCCGCCGACCACTGACCGCCACAATACAAGCGAGACTCCCCATCCTGGGCGATAGTTGGTTTAGGGTTTGGAATTTGGGTTCAACTTAAATTACCCTGGTAAAGTTCTACAGCAAACGGCATAATTTCCTTATCATGGTAGCTTAAATCAGCAACTTTAATAAGAGCCCGGCGTCGCAAATCCCGTTTGAACTCCAGGAATTTGTCTCCCAACGACATCCATTGGTCGCCAGGCACTTGTGCTTGTCAAAAAAACTGTAGCATGAATGACCTGAGCTCCAGAACATAGGGCCCCTGAGAAAGGAATTGACTGTTTGGAATCCGTAACACACACTCTACATGTGTTTTTACCCAGTAGTCTCAACAACTGTGCAGGAAAGGTCTGGGAACATTTCCTGGGCACTATTTCAGCAGATAGTATGATGCGGAGGCAATTTCGCCTCAGGTTTCGGGGCTTGGGGTGTACCGGTAATTCAGGCTAGTATCTGGTGGCATCCGGATCGTCGAAATGATAAGCATACCCGCTGCATGTCCCGTCGTAGCTAAACGAGGAAGCGAAGTCATGCCAGTCGCAACCTGCGGATTCGCAGCGGCCCTTTGTGTCCTGATGCTTGCATATCGGGGGAAGACACGGCTTCGTGGGATAGTGAAGGCCGCTGCCATGATGATGATGGTGGTGGTAGTGCTTCTCCATCTTCTCGGGATGATAGCTTTGATTCGTCTGGCTGTCCGGGTGGTAGCTTTGGTTTGTCTGATTGTCGACCCGCTTTGCCCTCACCTGGAGCATCATGACGCTGCTGTCATCCTCAATGGGGAAGGCAATCTCCGAAGAGGCAATTGCCATCAGAACAAGCAAGCCGCGCAGCATAGCCATAGCGCTGAGGAACAGGAGTGTCTAAGTTCGAGAGGTTGCAGAACCCAGAGCCGAAAGAGACTCGGGGAGCGGCTGTCTCGGCTTGAAGTCCCGATGGCAAAACTCCCAGCAAAACCTCAGATCTGAACGGCCAAGTGGCTGCTGTCGCCTTCATCCTGACCCTGGCCCCAAAGGCGTGGGCGCAGGATCTGGCAACGAGTCCTCCATGAGTGCAGGGCTAGGGCTCTGGCCTCCAAAAAAGGACCTCCAACCTTAAACCGAACCGTTTTCCCGGGCACGAATGAAATATGATGTAGCTAGCCATTATTCAACAATCGCTGGGAAGCGACAGTCTAGCAACTCCACACATTCCAGGCAGCAGGGACTCAGCGTTGTCTGGGTCGCGGCTTTAAGACTAGATTTCTATTCAAATTGCAGCCTCGCACCCCCCAACACTTAGAAACCCAACATCATTGTATGCTGTCGGGCTTCGTAGTCATAGGAGGCTTACTTACAAGGCCGGACGTTCTCTTGAAATGTAGTCTAGTCTATACGTCACGCTTGTCCTTCGGCAGTGTCGGTATGGATTTCAATGCAGTGTACAAACCTTCCTAGAGGATGTAGCTTTGGGGCCAAAGCCCTCCCTACATCCCAAGGCCTGCAGAAACTGTGATTCTGGGAGGTTTGAAACCAATAAGACGTGGCTGCAGCCTGAATTCCAAACTGCAAACCCGAGGAACACGAACGTCTGAACCCTAAAACCTAGGCCTAAAACCTAGGCTCAGTACTTTGAACCCAACATCCCTGCAAGGGGCTGGGTTTCATCAGCAATGTCTGCTTTTCGCCCCTTAACCCTCGAATACTAAACCTGCAGCCCTGAACGATCAAATCTAAACCCTAAGCCCTTGACCTTAAGGGTCCCGGCCTGCTTGGTCGGGCTCGGCGTGGCGTAGCCGCTCCCTGACAAGCGCCAACTACTCCGTAACTAAACACTGATCAGGCTCCCCGTTTTGATTCCAAAGGCTACGCCACTCTTAACAAGAACCCACCGGTATACCTGACCCAAATGCCTAAAGTCATACCTAATTGAAAAACCCTGGGCGAACGAAAACAACCCAAAGGCAACTGCTGTGCTTCGCACCCTTGATCTTGACAACATCTTTCGTAACGTCGAGCTTGCTATGTGTAGAGGCTCCTTGCCATGCAGACGGCCAGGGAAAGAGTTTTATACCCGAGAACAACCATGATCCGCTGCAATAAATCAGGAGTCTATATTGGTTTTGGATTCATGGTCGCCCTGCAGCTTTAAGTTCTTCAAAGACTTCATTGTTGGGGATCCATCCTTGAGGTTGGAGATTTGGAGTTTAGGGTTCAAGAGGAACAACATCAATCTGTAGGGTTGGAGGGTTGGCAGTTACGGCACAGTTGCCGTCGAAAGGGGACATGGGCTTCTCATGCAAGGCTAAAGAAATTGTAGTTTGGGGTTTCAGGCTTCTTCGCTATGGGCTCTCAAGGGGCTTTCGGAAATGGAGTCTGAATGCGAGAAAATCGAAATATGAAGCATAACCCAACCGTAGGATCCTTTTTATGTCGACTCTTTACGCAAGGTATGTCATGCCACAAAAAAACCTTGCGTCGACTCTTGCGCGTCCTGCTGCAAACACAAATCTGAAAGGCACTAAACACACAGATGTACTAAGAGCATCACCAGCAGCACCGCCAGCGCAAGCTGACAAACCACCGCACAAGACAGAATGACACCAAAACACAAGAAGTTCCAACAGTGGGAAGCCCACCACTCCGCAACCTTGCCCGGCCTACCCGACACACGTAAACCCCAGACCTTCAATGCTAAAGCCATGAAACTCAAAACCTAAGCTGCCCTAACTAAACCCCAGACGCAACAATATTTTTCTAAAGAGTCCCAGGCGCGATCCAAGGAAGCTACGAGGGCGCGGGAGCCGCTGTGATGCTTCTCCTTTCGTAAGTTGGCATGAGAGGGTCCATCATGGAAAGGTATGCGATGCAGGAATCAGCGCGGCTGCACGGTTGGATGATTGCTGGGTCGCTCTCTAAGGTTTTGCAGCTTAGTGCTTTCTAGGGTCTTGAGTTGAGGGAATCACGCTTAGGGCTTGGGTTGGAGGTAAAGGGTTTTTCTAAGGCAGAGGATCCATTTCGCGGGGGTGCAGGGCTGATAAGTCTTACGCTTAATGCTATTGTCATGCACCACTGGTGCTATTACCAGGGATGCCATTTTGTGTATGCACTCAGGCCCATAAGGCTATAAGGACTTCCTGTCTGGCCATCGTTATCCACCGTTGATGCCACTTGGGTTCATGGTCTTGCAACTTGCTGCCTTTCTGTGCAAAAGTCCTACAGCTTAAAGACCCCGAAACTCTGCAATCCGAAACCAGAACCCTGAGGCCCCAAAACCCTAATTGCCCAGCTGTTTGTTTGAAACAGAATAACAACGAAGAAAGTCGAAGGTCCTCCACCCTGGCTGCCAGTGCATCGCGGCAACAAAGCAGAGGATCGCGAATTCTTCGGGGCACGCTCTGGAAAGCAACGTGCCGATGGAGATTGAGTCGAGGACGAAGACCAATGCTGAGGATGCCCGTCTTGTCTCAATCGGCTGGACGAGCATTGCTTGAGCTGCTACAGCATCATATCTCTGCGCATTGTTTCCCGATCGTTGTGGTGATTTCCGCGATTTCTCAGTAGAAGAGTTAGAGCCGCTAGGTGAGTTAAGCTCCATGTCCATTTGCCAAGCATCGACCCAGACTGATGCAGCGCAGAAGTGGTTTGAAGTGAAGTGCTACTGCGGCTTGCTACCACCACCACCACCACCACCACCACCAGCACCACCAGAGCGACCGCCTGCTGCTACTGCTACTGCTACTGCTCTGTTACTGCTAC